ATCTTTACTCCTTGCAGTTATTAGACATCATCATACCAATTTACTTTTTGTTGTTTTCAACAAGCAGTCTTTCTGAAATTACCAATATGCATAGTGGTGGTAGCAGTTGTAGACACCCTCCTCGTGATATTTCTAATGGTCAGCAAACTTCTTCTTCAACTGTGTTTATGAAATTTGTTCCGTGACTTCCTGATATAAAATGTCATTTTTTTATTACTGACATGAAAATTGAACTTATGGTCTCAATTTTGTCTAGGGAATCCTTCTTCGTGCTCGAACTCACCCGTTGATAGGTTTTTCATTTTTTTTTGTAGAGCTGCAAATTTGCAATTGCACATTACTGTAATTTAGTGTGACTATCTGGACCGAGCAGGCTTAATGAAATAAACGACGTACGAACAAATTTAACTTTTCCCTCCCCAATTGCTGAAGTAGTTAATAATTCAAATCCACATCGAGGTAATCTTTAATGAAAAAATCCTTTTATTGTTTCGATATATCATGTTATAGAATAAGATGATAAAAATTTATTATGAATTATTATAATAATACTATAGTTCTTATCTTTTTTGTAGATAGCAAAAATGCTAGGATGAGACGCCAAGGAATCATTGCTCAGAGGAAGAATTCAAAGGAATTTACAAGCACACTCAATTCCATTAGTAGAATGGTTGATTTAACAGGTTAGTTTACCTGTGAGTTTAAACATTTAATACGTCATTACTACATGGATATGGATTTCAACGTTTGAGTTTTTTTCTAATGCAATGCTTAATAGGGTGTCCAATATGTATTTTTTAATGTTTGAATAGAGATTAATGCTGAGGATGCAATCACCATGCGTTCAACTGTTACTGTGTTATCTAAAGAGAAATTCGTGTCAGGGAATGATAACTGCCCAAGTAGTACTTCAACTTATGTCTGTCAACAAAGTAAGATCAACGTGTACTATTTCGCTCAATGTTTTTTAATGATGTTTGACAAGAATATGTATTTTTTCTACCGTCCTATGTTATATTTTTAACCAAGCCGTGTTTGCTACAGACACCAATTCACCCGATCAGCCTGTGTTAGACATATCTTCTGTCAACGAAGGTCGTTGTATAAATTAGTTTGATTATTTTTTATTCTGAATTATAATTTTCTTTGTAATATGACTTTTTGCTCTGTGAATATATGTAGATTATTGGGACGTTGGGGATCCCACTTTCATCTGCACGCATTGTGGAGCAAGTATGTGGTATGAAGATAGACTTAAAAAAGACAGAAAGTCATGCACGCCTGAGTTCGGTTTGTGCTGCGGCAATGGAAAAGTTAAACTTCCTTCTTTAAAAATGGCTCCAGATACATTGCTTCAACTGCACAATAATGAAGATATAAGGAGCCGTCATTTTTTACGATATATTCGAACGTACAACATGATTTTTGCCTTCACCTCCTTCGGTGCAAAAGTTGATAGATCCGTAAATGAAGGTTCTGGACCTTACTGTTTTTGAGTTGGAGGACAGGTTCATCATTTAATGGGCAGCCTTATTCCGCCTGATAACAAGTCTCCAAAATTTGCTCAACTTTTTATCTACAATACCGAGAATGAAATTGACAATAGATTGGATTTTCTAAGGCATTGCTCTTTGTTTATTTTCGCATTTTTTGTGCATTGAAGTGTATTATCTGTGTTATTATAGTTAGTTTACTTTTCCTGTAAATTTCCAAAGAAGACAATTTCCAATGAGCTCCTCAAGTCATTCTTTTCCTGTAAATTTCCAAAGAAGACAATTTCCCCTCGTCGTTTCGTTTGCCATGACAATCAATAAGAGTCAAGGACAATAGCTTTCTCATGTTGAAATTTATCTACCCAGGCCAGTCTTTAGTCATAGGCAATTATATGTGACACTATCCCGAGTAAAGAGCAAAAAGGGATTGAAGATTTTGATAGTTGATGATGATGGTTGTGTAACAAACAGTACCTTTAACATGGTCTACAAAGAAGTATTTCAGAGATTACTGTAATTTATATTGCTTCAGTCGATTGGATATAACGTTGCTCTTTGGTACAGGTAAAATCTGCATTCCTTAAGTTATATTTTTTTCAAATGTTGATTAGCGTTGGATTTTGATTATTTTTATACTGTATTTTTGAAATATGATTCTGAAATTCAAAAGCAAAAAACCACATTGAATAATATTTCTGACAATTACTTGTTCAGTTCTTCTGTTCTTTATTCGCTAAATCATATGTTATGCTAACATATTCTGTTTTTATTTCTTTTATAGTTAGCAGGCTGATGTCAGAGATATTTTGCTGGAACACCGAATTGTATCATGTTATTTGTGAATTATTAATTGTGAGCAGTTTTGACATTATGACATTTAAATTGTTTTTACATTGACATTATTCTATTTATCACTTTTGCAATTGGACGTGAAGGTTACTCGATACAATTAAACGTTTCATCCTACAAAATTTTATTTTACTTTTTTATCTTTCTGAATGCTACAGAGCCTTTTCAAGTTAAAAATTATAACAATACAATTATTTTTTATTATGATATTATTATTAAGAGTTTCATATCAAGATCAACGTGTGGATTTACCAGTAAGACGACACACCAACGACGGCGACAACGATTTTGTTCTTTTCCCCCCGGGCATCGCACGGGTAATTCACTAGTTAAAAGGATGAGAGAGACTTTCCTTGATTCACTCCCTTTAATTATGCGCCCCTTTAATACCTTTCCTTTCCTCAGAAATTTTGTTGCAACGGTCTTCATTTAAATTCTGAATTCAAATGAAAGAGTAGTTGAGAGAATTTTCATCCAATCTCTATTGGATTATTCCTTTAAATAATTTTAAATTATTCTCAACAACCTAACCTCATAGAATTTAAAATTCAAATTCAAATTTGAAATTTAAACTCAAATATAAATTCAATCTTATCCAAGTTCGTAATTCGAATTCGAAATTCAAATTTCCAATTTTAATTTTTAAATTCAAATTCAAATTTTAAATTTCAAAATTCAAATTTCAAATTTGCCCAAACCTTATTTTGGTCAAGTCAACTCTTTGACTTACTAGGATTCATGCCCCAAGGCTTCTTTGGCCTATCATTATATTTGGGCCCATTAGTGGAGGAAATTTTTTCACCACTAATGTCCCAAAAGGGCACATGGATCAAGTGGGCTTGGAGTCCCTACTCCAACCCAACTTGACTCATAGTCTTGACAAAGCCCAATAACTCATTATTGGTCCAAACTTGCTATAACTTGCAATAAGGAATAACTTTTGTGTGTGACCCATTAGGCCCAATTAGTTACTGACATAAATAAACTTGAACCAGTTAAACTCCTTTAAAAGGCCCAATTCATTTAATGACTACATGATACACTAGCAATGCTCTGTAGCCCCAGAACTAATTGAGTTGATCAAGTGATCTACCTTTCTGATTTGGATACCGTGCCAGCATTATCCCTCACATTGCCATTCACATTTAGTCGAGAGCAAGGATAGAGTATCATCTCTCTTTATTGACTAAATATAATATTTCACAGGAACTAGGAATCTTCTTCTATTGACTCTAAGACAGATCATGACTCTTCATGATCTCTTACTATGCATAGATTCCCGAGTCAACTAGAAGTCATCTCAGCTCTACCGGTCTTTGTGAACGACTAATCCCTTATAGGGGATTGTGAGTCCTTTCGGCATGTCCATCTATACTCATGTATTCGAGTTATACCCAAGAGTACACTGTTCTCCCCATTTTTCAGGCGGATAGAGTTGTACAGTCAAAGTATAACTCTAGGACATAGTATTCGATGACATCCTAAAGTCTAGGACGATCCACACTACCAAACGTTCAGAGACTTTTCAAATCCAATGATGCTCTCTATAATGGATCCTTGTGGAGTCTCTAAGCGGGTCAGTTCAGCGCTATCTGTTCTCCAACAGATTCACCCACGACATCAGCTAAGGCATCAACATGTCTGCATTCCATGAGGTCCTTACCTTGTATCTCCATACAAGTAGATGATGTCGTACTAGTCTTATTGAGATCACCAATACCCTTTCTTGGTGATTCAAGACCAGGAACAGATTTTTAGGTAATAGACATTCAGTGTCCTCGAGTCCTCATGATCATGATCCCTATCATAGATCCCCGAGTGAACACCTGCTCTATTCCTAGGGTCTTTATCTTTAAACGCATATTAACAATAAAATATTGGCGAGACATAAATATGATAAAGATAAAGTTTGCTCAAATTTATTAATCATGATATACCAAATAGAAAAAAGTGTTCATCTGATAAAACAGATTGTCTCTAGGACACCTATATACTAACAAGTACGTCTTCCTTCTCACTAACCTCACCAACATATACCATACACTCATTTTATTCTAATTTTTAATTGGGGATAATATAGTTAGTTTCACCAAAGGTCCACCTGCTATCTATTACTGAGCGTTGACACAGCCACACAGGGGAAGAATATATTAAAGTGGCAAATTATAACAGTCTGATTTATTAATCAATAGAAAAATTATTGTTCTATCTTATCCCTTGTTCTTAATTAATTGCAAATACATAGCTCTCACCATTTAGAAAATTCTATTACAACTTCCAGCTATATACGTGACTGTGATACTTTACCGGTGGATATATAAATTACCCTTTCATTATACAATTAAATACCCATTTTAGGTTTATAATTCACGAAATTTGAAAAATGCATGATTTTGTTTTAATCTTGGTCATTGCCATTGGCGAGGGTAGCCCAAATGTCTAGAAATAAGGGCGCAGGAGGCGAGCAACAACAATAAAGGCATAAAGCTTGTTGGGGTTGAGTACGTTGTAAGCAACTAAGCATGACATTCAATTTTGAGACGACAGCTGGAATGAGAAAGGATAAGAACTTAAAACTTTGTTCAAAAACCATGTTCAACATATGAAGTGCCAATAGTGCACTTTGACACTGACTGGCTTACAAATGTCACCTATATTTTCCCCCTATTTTACATTTGCAGTAAGAATGGGACATTATATGTTGGACTATAATTTGACTTACAAATGACCACGTATTAATCCTTATTTTACATTTGCAGGCACGCACGCACGCAACTTCTTTTTTCATAATTTTATTCTTCGAATTTTCGACTTATTTGCTATTTGTAAAACTTAGTTGTATTGTATCTCTGTCAAAGTTGTTTGACAGTTAATGTTTGATTTCTTCCAGAGTTTGGACAGAAATTGAATGTTTGACATCACCAATTTGGAGTTCATGTTCACCCATTGGGATTCTTCGAATCCCAAACTCGTCCACAATGGATAGGTGCTTGCAGACATGAACCCCAACCTTGACTCGCTGCTTTGAACCAGCGGGAACATGTATTTTGTGGAAGCTCACCAATTGTTTAATTGCATTCCATTTTCCACGAGGTGGCTTTGAGAAAATTAAAAGGGTATGGGTCCCATCCATTGTGCCTTCGTTTTTCACATCAACGTGGAACCCCACCTCCAGTGCTCCACAATTGGCATGACTCACCCTCACTCCTTTGCTTGATGCGGTTGAGTTTTTCAAGGCTTTGAGGCTTGCATAGGGCACCGAGACCTGTTTTGGAGCAAGTGCTAAGCTGTGGGTGAATCTAGTGTAACTCAGCCCATGCCCAAATGGGAATACCACTGGACCCTTGTAGAATCTGTAGGTTCGTCCTGGGTACCCAGATGCTGGATTTGGACGCATGTCCATGTTTGTCATTGGCACTTTAGCTACATAGTCCTGTGGGTACCATGTCATAGGTAGCCTTCCTCCTACAATTCCATAAAATAAGTCAAATGTTACAAAAATTGGAAGTGTCAAATTGTTGTAAATAAATAAATAAATAAAATGTGAGTGTGATTAATCTACCTGGGTTAGTTCTGCCAAAGATAACATCAGCTATGGCAGTTCCCCCAGCTTGGCCTGGATATCCAACCCACAAAATAGCACCAATCTTGGGATCAGCTTTGGCAAATGAGACATCAACAGGCCCACCAGACATGATGACCAAGATAACTGGGCCTATTGAGGCCCGGGCCACCCTAGACACAAGCTCTTGTTGGTGGCCCGGTAATAGAAGCCCAACCCTGTCTCTAGTTTCTGCTTCTATGGATTGGTCAAGCCCGATTACTAACACCGTCGCATCACCATGCCTGGCTGCCATCTCTGCCACTCCAAATAGTTGGTTATCACCACAACCCACGTCCCTACATGCAGCTTGATGAATGGTCTTCACATATCTCGCTATCCCTTGCAAAGGGGTCGTATAACCACATGCCACACCTACCCCATAACAAAGGAATTTGAAATTACAATTATAATATATAGTTTTTGGTAGTTTTATAATAATAATAATAAAAAAGAGGTTAAATTAGTGACCACTAACTAACCAGCATAGTTTCCTATCATTGTAACAGTAACGTCCGAATTGGGCCCAATGACTGCTACGGTGCGGTGTTGCACAGGGGATAGTGGCAGGGTGTTTCCGTTGTTCTGTAGTAGGACTATTCCCTGTCTAGCTGCCTCAAGGGCTAGTTCTTGATGGGCCTCTGTGCATACGTCTCCTGGGCCCAAGTTTCCGTACTGTTGGGCCGATGGTTCGCCATCGAACATGCCCAATCTCATTTGGACAGTAAGAAGGTTGGCTAAGGCAAGGTTAAGATCATTTTCCGAAATAAGCCCTTTATTAATGGCACCTTCGGTGTGGAGGGCCAAGAATGGCCCACAATCCAAATCCAGGCCTGCTTTAATGGCTTCTGCGGCTGCCTCTTCGGGCGTGCTTGTGTAGTGTTGGTTGTCATAGAAAACACCAACCGAGTCACAATCCGAGACTATGTACCTATTTTATAAGATAAAACATTGGTGAGAAGTGAAACCACCAAAAGCCCAAGTGAAAGAGAAAAAGGCTAGTTTTCAAATTGTGGGCTGACCCATTGAGGCGCCATTTGCCACGGATGGTGTTGCGAAGGAGATCAGGATCAGCACACGTGGGCTTGCCATTAACCTGATTGTAGGAGCACATCACACTCGCCACTTTCCCATCCAACACGCACGCTTTGAATGGTACGTCATAGGTGTCCTCCAAGTCTTGCTTGCTCACCTGCATGCATATCCACAGCCCAAAATAATCATGATAATGCATTTCTTTGGGCTTTCAATCTTTGCTCTGCTCGCCTATAATTTTTGTGTGTGGATATTTTTAGCTAAATTCTATTCCAACTTTTCCTTTAATGTCACGTCAACGAGGGACACTGTAATCAATGACAGAGAAAATAAAACGGCTTATGGTGCACAAGTGGTGTGATTTGGTAGTTTGATATTTTGATTGGCATTGCTGTCACTTATCCGAACTAATTGCAAGTGGCCGCAAGTCCTTATCAACAACTTGAATTACTTCCAATTTAATGAGAATCACTTTTTTTTTTCTCTTGCGTTGATGGAAACTATACTTATTTGAACCAAAGAAATGAGAATGATAGAATTAGAAACTATAAAGGTAGGCCCCACTCTATACCCTTGCTTGCTCAATATAGATAGGAATAATATGAGTGAATGTCCATGTGGCCTAAGTAACCAATAAAAAAAGCATGTACGCACATGAAAAGTGCTATCAATGAACTCATAGAGAACCTGCCTGCCACTTGTGCTGAGCTCAAACAATTGGGTGGGTGAAATTTTAAATCAAAGGATAATATATTTTAATTCTAATGATTTCTAAAAAATATAAACTATAAGATATAATAACATAATTTAAGCATACATACATACCCTGGCGTTGAAATGAAACCTGTCAATACCATTCCAGTTATCAAGGTCATAGGCAGTGTAGTGTTTACAAGAAGCAGCAACCTTGAGCCTGTTACCCGAACCGTCACCTTGAAGTCCTTGGACATAGCTGGCGGCGTATTTTGCAGCCAAAGTGGGGTCTTCGCCGGGAGTTTCTTGACCACGGCCCCACCGTGGGTCACGGAAAATGTTCACATTAGGGCTCCAATATGTCAACCCACCCACCCCACCATTGTACATTGCTCTAGCTTCATCAGACACCACCTGCATATATATAAATATATAATTCAATTACTCAATTCAATAATCTTTTTTTCTTATTCTAAAAAGAAAAATCATTTTTTTTTTATGTCCTTTCTCTATGTCATAACATAAGGCTAGCTATGCTACTAACCGGAATAAAAGAATAACTTTTGGTACTACGAAACAAACAAGACACTCCATTTTTAACATTTTAATGGAATCCAATAACGTCACGAAGTTTACTAATATCGAGGGCCCTTTCTTGTTCAAGACAGTAGCGTGTTAAGAGAAGGACTTCACCAATAATACAGTATATGTGGCAAACGTGATTAGGTAATTATTGGGTCTCATTGTTACACCAAAAGCAACTTAATGACCTTTGAAAAGCATCGACATGTATAGCCCCAGGACCAAAATAAATAATAATAAAATTTTCTTTTTCAATTAAAAAGGACGTAACAGAAAGGACCACGCACGTTTTTGCAACTTGCAAGAAGAGGTGTTGGTGGGCAACATCAAACACCTAGTGTATGTCAATTATTTGCTGAACAATAACAACATCAAAGACGGTGGTTTTTTATGCTTCACAAAAACAACCCCAAAGATGCAAATTCAATTGGTTTTTATCCTTCACTAACAATAATTAATTTTCGATGGCAAAACCTTGTCTATATAATTTCCTGCTATTTAAATGAAGAGAGCAATTTAAGAAATGAAAAGGATTTATTAATTGCCATCGAAAGCGTAATCAACTATATATAATGGATCCAATCTTAATACGTACTTATTTAATTAATGACGTCAAGAGGGACAAAACCACGGACAAACAAAACCACTATATGATGATGCTGTTGCTTTCGTAGTTAAAGAAATAATAGCGTAATGGACTTTCTTTTTGCCACTAGCAGCTGACGAATTAAGTTGATGATTTTTCAACATCGTCCTCATTTTCTAAACCATATAAATTGACCCGATTGGAAAACTTCATATATTCAGATGCATGCAATACAAGGCACATGGGACACAATTTGTCAGTTTCTATGTAAACCAGCTAAAACAAGTGACTAACGAGTAGCCGAGTAGCGCCATATATTTTTCGGAAATCCTTTCTCATATTGTTAGAAAAAAAGTTTTTTTACAAAAAAAAAAATTGTATTACGAATAATATTAAAGTTATTTTATTTTTCTTTCTCCTCAGACATTGTCGATTGACGTGGTGGAGAAAAAAAAAATTTACTATTATAACTATGTACTATCATGGAAATAATTTTATTTTGAGCAACATGAGAAAAATAAAATCCTATAATTTTTATTTACAACCTTTTCCCTTTTTCATTTGTATATGCACTCAAAAAAAATTATTTTTGGATGAGAATCAAACAAAATAATAAGCAACAAAAAAGGAATAAAGTTTCGCTCTCATGATTGGACAGTAAATACAAATATTTGGTAGTTAATAGTTTGTAATTTACAAAAAACATATTTTTGTCGTCATTCAGATGTTTCGGTGAGGCCCAATTTTTAGTTACCTTTTCACTTTTACTGAGGACTCAGGAGGACTGATTAGATTATTACTGAGTCAAAACTTAAACTGTACGTGAACATATACGTTTTTTGAAAATTAAAAGATCCAAAAAATTCATGGGAAGAAACTAAAATAAAATTTGTAAAAATAAAATAAAATAAAAAGTTGTTGCACCTAATTATGCAAGATTTTACAAATTGAAATCATCTGGGACTTCATTTTCTCAAATTGCACATGAAATCATTTCATTTATATAAAGGTAATATATCAATTCACCAAACTAATAATAATAAAAAAGTAACATATGAAAGCGAAAAGCGATAAGTATACTTTATACTCGTATAGAAAAGCTATCCACCGATTTGGCTAGCGTCTGCATTCTAAAGACTACAATGTTATAATGTTATTATATACCGGTGAATGGATAAATGATTAATTTTATTATGAATGGCCGAAAAGAAAAACCAAGGAATCTACTTTTAATTATATATTAGTTAAAGATGGATGAAATGAAAATGTTGATATATATATATATACTTGATTCATATGGGATATGATGGAATAGTAATCAATGATCAATTAATCTCACCCGTCCAATTTCTTGCCACAGAGACTGATTGAAGGAAGCAGCGGTGGTGATGACCTGAGGGAAGCTGGTGGCACCGGGGTAGGCCCCACCGAACTTGGTTCCGGGCCCCACATCGGAGACACCATGTAACGCCTCCGACCACCACTCATAGCCTTGGATACCAAGCCTCGGCACCGCAATGGCATTATTCACCACCAACCTTATCTTTTCCGGCAATGTGAGCCTCCCTACGAGGTCCTGAACCCTTACGTGGATTGGCACGTTTGTTCTGCAGAACTTGAATCCCCTAGTTAACCCGTTTTGAGGGTCACATGCAAATGGCACCCTCCCTTCCCCAACCCCTAGTAAGGTCAGTGTCACACAAATGATCAATAACCCAAAAGTCAATAAGCTTTTGCTATTGCAACAAGCCATGGTTTAATTTGTGAATATTGTAAATGTGGTTTGAGAATGAATGAATGAGGTGAGGAGTGATATGGAGAGTAGGGTGTGTGTGTATATATAGAGGGGAGTTGCGTCTTTTAAAGGGTTTGGTTTGGGTTTGGGTAACGATGGAAGCAGAGAAAGAAGCTCTCATGATAGGGTTTCCACGTCGATTAATTGAACGATTGGATATTTCATATGTTACATATGTATGAAACTTACAATGACTGAGAGCTAAAAACTTGAGTAGATATATTTACTTTAAGGGAAGAGAGGTGAGTCAGTGTAACACGTAGTTAGGCTCAGTGGGTGGTGACCGGTTTGTTCCCTTTCTCATTTGTGGACTAGCATGGTAGATGCTAAATTAAATCAATTAAATATATTATATGCCATAACTTAGGAAGATGTATATATATATAAACAAAGGTTCCAATAAAAAAAAAAGAGAGAGAGAAAGGCTGTGTCTAATTTTATTTATTTATTTTTAATCTTTTTGAGGAGTGAATTTGAGTTATGGGCATTCACGGACGAGAGAATCTCTCGCTTTCTTACATGTATCCCCCGACCGCAGGCTTGGCTTATAGCTATATACCTTTCTCTCGAATGCATGTTTTTTTGCATATGTTCACAAGTTTACAATTCCACAAGCTAGGTTGCTATTTTGACTATTGATTTAAGATTTCGCTCTCGAGAGTTAAATAATCATAATTCCATTGACAAATGCATTAAAAAACTACACAAGTCAAAATATTTGACGGTTTCTGAAGCTTCACCCACCAAATACAATGACTACTCTTACAGACTGTTACACAAATTCTGTTGTTGTGTGTTTACCGATGATCCACCCCGTGACGTTACTGGAACTGACTAAAGCACTATAAAGAAAGATCAAAACCCGTGATTCCATTTGCAGAAAATATTAGTTTATGTCATCTTTTGCTGGTGTTTCTTCCTCCCATATGCAACTTGCAAGTATACTTCTAAAGAATACTATAGTATTTATTTATTTATTTTTCTTTTACTATATACATACATCAATGTTGAGTGCAACTTTTAATTTAGAGATGGCTCATTATTCTTTCATAAAATACACAATAACTTGACCTCGTTTTCAATACTTTTTTAAAAATCTTTGATTATTCTTCGGACAAAAAAAGGAACAGAAAAATAAGAGAGGTGAATTGATTCCGATAGGCATATCTATACGGTCAAGTTCTCCTTAGTCCTTACTTACCCCAGAAAGAAAGAATGTAATTACAACATTATGTTGTTGGATATATGCATGCATGTAAGAAATTCTACGCCAACCGCAATAGGGGCCCACATGCTTTTTGTTTGTGAGTATAATATATATATATATATTGATATTGATATTGATATTGATTAGCACATAGGCATTTTGAATATATGATTGGATAAGGGGATAGACGAATGATATCCATTTAGTATATATTTTCCAAGTGCGATAAGAATAATTGAAAATAAAGAATTTGTCTTCTAAATTTCATTAAAACGTTCTGAGTTTAAAAATTATTATCATTAACCAAATTCACAAAGCAGGTGGATCAACTCGTAAGGGATTGTTACAGCTTAACTAGTGATTTTGAGTTCAAGTTCTAGATACTCAATTGTGTTAAAAACTTTGTAAGGAGAGCTTTATAGCTCTTATGATGTTACCCGATTCGACCGGATTAGTGGTCTCAAGTTCAAGTTATGGGTAAGCAATTATGTTAAAAACTTGATAGGAAGAGTTTTGTTGTCTTTATAGTCTTGTCTAACTCAACCGAATTAGTCGATTAATTGATGAACTGATGGAGAAATTAAAAAAAAAATTATCATTGACCAAAAAGTTGAAAAAAAGACTGCTAACTTCCTATCATTTCATTTCTCTTTTTTTCAATTAAAACAAAATAAGGAAGAAGTGAGCTGCCTCTAATTGTAAATCATATATGTGATATCCAACCAACTGTCTTTAGAGTATGGCATGTGAGGTACCCAAGCAAGATTCCAGTCCCACATGCTACCGCTGTCGTAATACAATTAATAAATATTTAATCAAGTGGAATGCATTTTTTGGTGGTTAAATTTTGATTTGAGTAAATGATTATATGATCGCCTATGTTGAATATTTTATTAAAGTATAATATATATCAGATTGGGAAATTAAATGAATGATTCGTGCTTTTTTTTGTACTTAAATGTGGCAAAACAAACAACTTTTCAAGGACAAAAGAATCGAGTGGTTTCATCCAGTGACGGACTCAGGAAAATTTCTTTATGTCCGCACATTTAGTGGCGGGGGTTTGGGGCAGTGCCCCCGAAATTTTTTTTTGTAAAGAAAGTTTAAATCAACACTTGAACCCGCTCATAATCTAGTTGCTTCCATAACAAGCTGCAGGCAATAGTTTGACTAATTATTTTCCCCCTTAAATCTTACCAATCCTCCAAAACAAATATGATGAGAATATACTTCGGGACATCCATACATCATCATTCTATTTTATAGTGATGAATAAAAAAGTCAACACGACCTGTATAGAAGGCAAGCAAAATCATAGTGAAAGCCTCGTCTCTAGATATTAACTTATTTGAGAATGTCCTCTCTTTTTATAAAAATGAAAAAGGAAACAAAGGATGAAGAGAGCATAGAGATAAATTCTGGTATTCAGTCTCGTAATTCTCATTGATGAATACGTTTAAATAGATTTACAGTGAAAACAGAAATGCTAACAAACTAATAACAAACTAATCCTAGCCATATCTGATACAAAACTTGCGTAACAAACTCAAACACTAAACTAAGCTAACAAACCGTATACTAAGCTAACAAAGGATGTTATCATATCCTCACAATCTTATCTAATACAACAACTAATATCCTAACAATGTGATATTCTCTAACACTCCTCCTCAAGTTGGAGCATGCAAGAATGAAATGCCCAACATGGAAAGAAATGCAAGAAAATCTGCTTGACCTAATGCCTTGGTGAACAAATCTGCTAGCTGGGATTTGGAGCGAACATGTGCAGTGACAATGTTGTTGGAAAGGATATGATCACGTACAAAATGACAATACACTCTATGTGTTTAGTTCGTTCATGAAACACCGGATTAGCAGCTATGTGGAGTGCTGCTTGATTATCGCAAAACAATTCCATTGGACTGTTATGAAGTACACCAAGGGATGAAAGAAATCCTTTGAGCCAAACCAACTCAGCTGCAGCAGCTGTCATAGCTCTATACTCAGCCTTCGCGGATGAACGTGACACCGTTACTTGTTTCTTCGTCCTCCATGAAATCGGTGATGTTCCTAGCATGACAAAGAATCATGTGACTGACCTGCGAGTAAGAGAACACGAAGCCCAATCTGAATCACAATATGCATGAAGTTTAAGATCACAATCAGATTTTAAAAATAGTCCTTGTCCCATATTTCTTTTAATGTACTTGAGAACTCTCATTGCTGACTCCAAGTGAGCTTGTTTTGGTTGTTGCATAAACTGGGACAAAGTATGAACTGAATAACTCAGATTAGGACGTGTAATAGTTAAATAGATCAACCTGCCAACAATGCGCCTATATCTCTCAGGATCCACAAGTGCTGGACTTTCCACAAGTGCCAAACGATGGTTTTGTTCAATTGGTGAATTGGCAGGCTTACTTCCACTGAGTCCTGATTCATGGAGAATATCAAGAGCATACTTTCTTTGGCACAAGAAAATACCTTATTTCCTACGAGTAACTTCAATCCCCAAGAAATATTTCAAGTTTCCTAGGTCTTTGATTTTGAAACATTGATTCAAATATTCCTTCACCTCCTTGCATGCTTGGGAATTATTGCCTCCCAACACTATATCATCAACACAAATTAAAAGAACTAAAAATATATCACCCTTCTTCAGAGTAAAAAGGGTATAATCTGCATGTGATTGAATAAAACCATATGCTTTTAGCGAGGTGCTCAATTTTGAAAACCAATTCCGCGGGGATTGTTTTAAGCCATATAAGGATTTACGGAGTTTGCAGACTTTGTTGGTCGTGCCATTGCTGAACCCAGGTGGAAACTTCATGTATACTTCTTCACTTAATTCTCCATTTAAGAAAGCATTGTGGACTTCCAACTGATGCAATTCCCAGTTTCTTGCTGTGGCTACTGCTAGGAATGTCCGTACGCTGACCATCTTAGCCACCAGAGCGTACGTTTCAGTGTAGTCTTCACCTACAACCTGATAATTTCCAGCTATCACCAAACGATCTTTGTACCTTTCGATTGTGCCATCGGAATGATACTTTATTTGGAACACCCATTTACTAGGAAGAGCTTTTCTTTGTGGAGGTAAATCAGTTATACACCATGTATTATTCTCCTCTAAGGCAGTAATCTCCTTGCACATGGCATCTACCCAGCGAGGATCATGTAACGCGTCTTTGTAACTCCTTGGTTCAACACCTGTATCAATAGCTGCAGCGAAGGCGCGGTGTGTAGGAGAGAGTCTAGAAAAATTAAGAAACTGAGCCATAGGATAACTGGTACTAGAAGAAGAGTCAGCGTGAGTGTCTGCCTTTGGATGTCCATGTGTTTCAGCCATATTGCACTGGTAGTCTTGCAGATATGAATGGGCATTCTTTGCTCGACTCTGTCGTTCCTGAGGTGCAGGAAGAATGCTCTTAGTATTGGTCTCGGTATTGCTCCCCCCATCTCCTGAAATATCCAGGCAGTTCTGTGAAGATTGGCTGCATCTTTCTTCAGTATCACCATGCGCTGTTTCTGTCATAATTTCAGCTGGTGCAATTTCATCAAGACATGGCAAATGCGGAGGTAACCATGGTGGAGAGTCTGAAATACTGTCTTGTACAACATGCTGTTTGAAGGGAAACTCATGCTCATAAAACTTGACATCTCTTCTTACAAAATACTCATTATTGTCTAGATCAAATAATTTCCACCCTTTTTGCCCCATAGGATACCCAACAAAGATACACTTATGGGAACGTGAAGCGAACTTGTCACTTGGTTTTGGCCGCATATTAGCATAACATAAACAACCAAATATGCGCAAATAATCATAGCTTATGTCAAGTCCAAACAACATTTCATGTGGACTCTTCTCTTCCAAGACCCGAGTTGGTGTTCGATTAATTAAGTGTACTGCTGTCAAAACACTCTCTTCCCAAAACTGAACAGGCAAAAAAGCTTGAAACAATAAAGCTCTTGAAACATTAAGAATGTGCCTATGTTTCCTTTCTACACGGCCATTTTGTTCATATGTATAGATACATGATGTCTGGTGTTGTATGCCCATATTAACAAAAGTTGGCTGCAAACAATGGGATTTAAATTATGTCTCATTGTCAGACCGAAGCATTTTAACTGTTTTGCCAAATTGAGTTTTTAGCATTGTGAGAAATTTAATGACACGATCACTTGTTTTACGTTTTTCTGCCATCATATACAGCCAAATTGCTCTACTAAAATCATCAACAATAGTCAAAAAATAATTTGAACCGGAAGTAGAAAGCTCTTTATAAGGGCCCCATGTATCTCAATGAACAAGATCAAAGCACTCTTTACTACGAGAAATACTTAAAGGAAACATGGATCAAGTGTGCTTTGCACGAACACAAACATCACATGATTTATTGATGACTTCTTTGTCACGAAAACGGGAAACACAAGGAATTAAAGAAACTACTTCATAGGAGGGGTGACCAAGCCTTTTATGCCATAATTCAATGGTGTCTGGTGGTTGAACGGCAAATGTTGAAATGACCTGAGGCTGAAACACATAAACTCCTTGGCTGAGTTCACCCAAACCAATCTCCCTCTTCAGTACCTGGTCCTGCAAAAGACACTCTTTCTCAGTGAACATCAGTTTGTAATCACCATGTTGTAACAGTTGCGAAACAGATATAAGATTGCAACACAAATGAGGAACATATAAAACATGGTGTAATGTGAAGGATTTATTGATCACCACCGTTCCTTTCTTTTCTGCATAAGTTATTGAACCATTCGGCAAGCTTACTACCAAACGTGGTACTTGAGTGACATTGATCAATGCATCTAAGGATCCTATAATTTGTTGGGAAGCTCCACTATCAATAAGCCATTATAAATGAAATGAGTAGCCTTACCAGTTAATTTGTCACTTGGCTGAGGTTGTTCCACAAGTGCAACAAGTTTATTGATGACTTCTGGTGTTAGGGCCGAGTATGCAGCAACGGATGGTGGTGTATCATGCGGCTGTGCTGAGGTCTGAATAGCATGGGCTTGCTCCTGGATGAATCGTCCACCAGACTTACCTCTGCCACGTCCACGAGTTGCACCACCACGCATAGGAGGATAGCCAAACTTTGTCCAACATCTGGAAGGATCGTGGTTTGTCTTCCCACAATGCGGACAAGGGGTTCTGTCAGGAGGCTTATCAGGCAGCATCTGCGACATTTTGACGTCTGGTCGCGCACTATAAGCATGCGTCTGTGCTACATAACCAACGATATTGCTGCGTTCATCTTGACTTCGAGCAATGGTGCGGTGCGTTTCTTCTTGGGTGACGATGGCCTTGTTGACATTTGGTAGTGGTGTAGTATTTAAAATTTGAGAACGTAAGTTCCCAAATACTCCTTCATCCAATCCCATCAGGAATTAATACACCCGAACGTCCTCACTGTCATCGCTAACGTCCTTGGCATGAAAGCAGTTATCACCACATACACATGACCTGTATGTTTTGCTGGCTTCAAGCTCGTCCCAGATGGCCCGTAGCTTCCTATAGTACTCGCCTACAGTGCTACCTTGTTGTCGGATGGTTGCTAGACTGGCCCTGAGTTGATAGTGTCTGGGAAAATTCTGCATTGCACATCTCTCCTTCAAGTCTTCCCAGAGATCCTTCACTTGATCGAAACATTTAATAAATGGTTGAAGCTTTGGATCAATGGTGTTATGAATCCACCCATTGATCATGGAATTGCACATTTCCCATGCTCGCCATTCTTCTCCAGTCTCCCTTTCGGGTTTCTTCAAAACTCCAGTTACAAAACCGAGCTTATTCTTAGCTTTGAGTGCGTTTTTCATGAGCTTGGCCCAATTATCGTAATTAGCTTCCCCTCGAAGCAACACCGCTGTGAGCATGACCCCTGAACTATCAGACCCTGCCAGATAGAAGGGAGACCAGGGATTAGATGGCTTCAAGTTGGTGTTGCCTTCGGCCATGGCCAGCTTTCACACTCTCTCTCGTTTGCGGAAGTTTTTAAAGGATCGCTCTGATACCAAGTTAAATTCTGGTATTCAACCTTGTAATTCTCATTGATGAATACGTTTAAATAGATTTACAGTGAAAACAGAAATGCTAACAAACTAATAACAAACTAATCCTAGCCATATCTGATACAAAACTTACGTAACAAACTCAAACACTAAACTAAGCTAACAAACCGTATACTAAGCTAACAAAGGATGTTATTATATCCTCACAATCTTAGCTAATACAACAACTAATATCCTAACAATGTGATATTCTCTAACACATAGGAATGGGTACATGACAGGGGAGGAAGAATAAGTTTTCTCTCTAATCAATTTGTGTTACTACGTTGTTTTAATCATCTATGTACGTTGCTAATTAATATAAGAATAAATATATTTTTTTTTTTTTTTTTTTTTTGATAACATAAATATTTTTTTTGATCCCTAACAAAAAATCCGCTCCCCACTTTAGTCCATTATAAAAAAAAAAAAATTAGTCACTTGATCCCTATGAAATTCAAAGTGAATCTATTTTGGTCTTTTTAAGGGATTAATGTAGGTCTTTTTTGAATTTGTGAGTGACTACGAATTTAACTAAATTGATCCACTTTAAATTTTGTAGGGACCTCGAGACTAATTTTTTTTTGTAAGGAACTAAAATGGGGACCATTTTTTTGTTAGGGACTTAAAAGAATATTTACTCCTAATATATATATTAAACCAAGAGACAAATAAGGACCTGCAACCAAGAGAGAAAAAAATAGCTGAAATCTAATATTTTATGTCCGCATCCGCCATTGGTTTCATCTCATGTTTTTAAAGTAAATGTGAGTAAACCTTTCATGTCCAAACTAAGGACCGAAAGCTATAGCTTATTTGCTTTTAGCCTTTTAAAATTAAGAGCAAAAGAATAAAAATCAGAATGATTGCTTCGGTTCAACTTGTCTATTAGTGAAGCTCTTCATGTTAGTGATGCCGGCCAAACCAAACCTTTTTCTATATACATTAACTGAGAATATTTGTTTAATTAACTCTCTAAATGACAAATTTTTCCCTGTAGTTTTTCTGTTATAATAAAACTATAGCCATAATCTGTAGTTTTTTATCTAAATTAATTATGCTTACTTTTTTTATGGTTTTAAATATTTTTTCTCTCACATGTTGTTTTTTAACTCTTACTTTTGAAAATTTTACCTGAATTTAAAAGTATTTTTGCATACTTTCTGTTAAACATATTTTACGAAGACGTTTCCATTAATTTGAAAGGGGTATCATTCCGTTTAAACTAAATTGTATCCTTTAAAAATTCATGGAATAGATTCTTTGCCTTATCATTATTTTCGTTAATTCTAAAAAAGGAGCATGTATAATCTTTTTTAATGAATTTTTTTTTTGTGGGAGTGACAGAATTTGAATATTTTAGATGGCATCATATTATTCCAAATTCTTTCCCCTTTAAATGGCATCACGTTGTTGTTTTTAATTGAGCAATACTATAGGATTTTTCTAAAATGGCTATGCACTGTTCTCTCTATTTCAAGTTAAGCATAAAGAACGCATTATAATATCGATCAGTGGGTAAATGAAGACAAAATAGGAACATATGAAAGGGCCGCGAAAGGTTTTGTTGGGGAAAGCTTTAACTTGAAGCATAGCACAAGCAATTATGGTAAAATCCTTTTATAGTTGAAGTTTTGTCGTGGCATAGATTTTGGTTTGAGTACCCATCATGCATGTTGTATTGTCTTTCGTTAGTTCAAAACTGATCCCTCGCCGAACTAAAAAGGGAACAACATACATTAATAAAAGCCATAAATGCTACCAGGATGACGGGAAATTTATAGCAACGGTATCTAACAGCACTTTAATGAAATGTATAATGATATTGGATCTGGACGCTCTTATGTGAAAAAAATATTGCATGGTGATGTAGAAAATCATAATCATATAAGAGTGTATCAATCGTAATAAAGGAAGAAAGACAAAAAATATTGAAATAATTAGTTAACAAATCATAACCGTTGATTCACCTTCTCACATGACCATGTCATATTTTTTGTCACATGAGAAGATTTATTTCCAATTAGTATATAGATCTGGATCCTTTCATGTGAAAAAAAAAGCATGACATGAGAATGTGAAGAATCATAATTATACAAAGGTGATCTGGATCTGTTAATTTTTAATTTTACTTTCTTTCTCGAGACATAATTAATTGCTATTTTACGTGTTTCTATTAAATCTCGAATTATTAATTAGTTTCAATTTTTTATGATAGGTTTTTTATCCTCGAATCATACTTGATTATACAGTTAAAGTAATTATTTTTAATTTCTTCTCTTTTTATGTTACAAATTTTCTCTCTCAAAATCTCAATTATTAAATTTTTTAGATATTTCTCCGCCGATTCATCAATTAATCAACTAATCTGGTCGAGTCAGGCAGAACCATAAGGGCGGAAAAGCTCTTCAGCCAAGTTTTTAACACAGCTGCGTACATAAGACTCAAACTCTAGACCACTTATTAAGTTAGAACAACCCTTTACGAGTTGACTTATGTGTTTCGTGGTAAATCTCAGTTATTTTTACTCTCAAACTTTATTAATTGATTATGCATATCTTTTTATAATTTTAATATTTTTTCTTTTTTATGCAATATTTTTAAATTCTACTTACATTAATTTTACACAATCTTTTATAGTTTTTAAGTTTTTTTTTCTTTTAAATTTTTTAATTTAGATTTTACCTTCATTTATACTTTAAAAGTTATTCCTAAATTTAAAATATCATGCAATGCGAGAGGTTTTACTTACAAACTCTTACAACCACTTTTATGGTTGTTGAATCAAAATCAAATTAACTTTGATTTTGATTCAACAACCATAAAAGTGATCGCAAGAGATTATAAAAAAAAAAGAGGTTGTAAATATAATCTCCCTCAACTTAAATTTTATGGTTTTTTCTTTATAAGATTTTGTATGTAACAACTCAAAATTCGATGATCGGTTTCAAACTTATAAATACACATTTTTAGGCAGGTCATTTTATGCTTTTTTTATATATAATTGTCACTGACATTTAATTTATGATCATTTGTTTATCATCAAGTTTTCTTATCACTTTTTTAAAAATTAATCACAAAATAATATAGATAATTATTAAAATAATTTATTAAAGCACTTGTCAAAATAGCAAAACTTCAGCCTAATTAGCATTGTTGCATTTAAAATACGACAAAACCGGCATATAGTACAGTAAATTTCCAAAAAATTTATTAACATACAAAATATGAGAACGTTATAATTTTTTTGAAAAATTTAAATTTGAAAGAATCAAGATGAGCGCTAAGAAAAAATATTTAATTTTAAAGGATATAAAAAGTTCAAAATATATTAAGAAGGGGTACTCAAAATTATTTATTTCCTTCTTGCTCCTAAAAAACTAAAACTCATGAGTCACCATAGGTACGTTATGTCGTGTGGGACCATATTGTTTAACAGAATATACAGAGACCATGGCTCTTTTTGATTGTTGTTTTTAAAAATAATTTTTTAGTTTTTAGAACAAAAAAACTAAAAAACTCGTTTGTTAAGGCCTGTTTTGTAAAAAATATTTTGAAAATTATAACTGTTTTTTTGTTTTTAGAATCAAATTTAAAGAATGTGTCTGAGTTGTTTTTGTTTTCTATTTTAGTTTTTAACTTTCAAAAATAAAAAAATATAGAAAATAACTGTTTCCATAACTATTTTACAAAACAGTTTTAAGGAGAAAAAAAAAAACAGAACATAATACCCCATATAACTAATTCAATTCGATGTCACCAACGGACACTCAACTAACTTTAACTCTAGTTCCACTTGAAAACCTTCAAGAAACGAGATAAGACACTAATTATTTTTTTTATTAATATTAAGTCAATTTGTGTGTCTTTCACTCTTTCAATCATTGCATTGCAGTTTACAAACTGTTTTTTTTTTCTTCTTTAAAACATTATCGTGTTGTTCCCTTAAATGAATTTAAATCGTCCTCTTATTATTTTTGTGATGCTTATTTGATTCCATTAGTTTTTCTATGTCTATAAAGAAGGACTGGGATAAGATTAACTAATATTTAAGTATTTGATTAGTGGTAAAGAAGGATGCTTGGTGAAGGAAATCAGTTTGCCAACATTTAATCCAATTTTAGTATTTGATTAACTAATAAGCAATTCGAGAGTCCAAACCGAAAAGCAATTAATCCATTTTTTTTTTTTTGTATATCCTGTCATCTTGTCCTCGGAGTACGGCCCGAAGACTACCCCTATTTAGAACAACGGGTGCATTGAGCTTCGCTACCGGAGGAAGGATGAGACTAATCACCTATTCGAAGACAGAGGCACATCCTCTGGCTCCCAAAATTTTTCAAGAATTTGCTTGAGATAGTGTTTGAATCCTAGACCCAAGCAAATCCTTAGAAGCTGAGTTGCCAACAACTGAGCTACCCTTTGGGGTTATTAACCCAAAATTTCAAAGTATGGATCACTTTTTTTTCTTCCTATATAATGAATATATATATATATAGGGTTCATTTTTTCTGCAATTACTGCAGATAAGTTATCTGCAATAAGCACAATACGATGCCGTTTTGGGACAGAAATCATAGTATTTTTGTAATTTTAATTTATTTCAGGGTTATTTTAGTTTTTATAATTGTAATTTTTTAATATTTTAATCCCAAAACGACATCGTTTTGGAAGTAAATGCAGATAAGTTATCTCCGGTAACTGCAGAAATATTTTTCTGATATATATATATATATATATATATATATATATAGAGGCAGGATCCTTTGACACCGGTGTCAAATTTGACACCTCATCTGAGAGCCGTTAGATTAAAAAAGATCAATGATGTCACATGCTTACAAATCAGAGCCGTTGATCTTTTTTGATCCAATGGCTCTTTGATGAGGTGTCAAATTTCAAATTTGACACTGATGTCAAAGGATCCTACCTCTATATATATGCTTACAAATCAGAGTCGTTGATATTTTTTTATCCAATGGCTCTCCTTTGACACCAGTGTCAAAGTTGACACTGATGTCAAAAGATCCTATATATATATATATATATATATATATATATATATATGAATCACATTCTTTGGTGAGAATACATAAAAGTAAGTAATCAATCATCCATTGAACCAAATTTAATAAATAAAAACAAAAGAAAATTTTCCCTTTTATTTATGAAATAATGCATATTTTTAATTTAATTATTTTTGGAATATTTATTTTATCAAAATATGTATTTATTTATACTTTTGTCACACCCCCTAAAAGAATCAAATTTATATATAAATATTGAAACCGAGTATTATTATATTATTGTGGTTGCTACCAACATGCATCATATCCAATTCACATTTGAGTACAACTTTCATGCATGATGTGTTGGGTACGTCTGGCGTTGTGCAATGAGATAGATAGAGGATGAAAGCGAAAAGAGGGAATTAAGGGATAGATTGTGAAGGTGGCAAAAGCAATGGGGGCTGAACAGATCTAACTGGATCATAAATAAAATGGACCCACAAATCCTATCCTTTGGGAGTGTGTTGATTTTGACGAAGATTTTTGGATTAGAACAAAAGAATAGTTACATGCACCAATGAAACCAAATCCATCTTCACATAGATATGCATGGCTACCTGACTACTTGGCTGATCCATATCAGATAGATGAGAACCACTGAACCAGAACCACATCAGCAACAGATTATAAGAATGTTGTTTCTAACAGTCTAAAGTCCAAAACAGTGGCATGGTATATAAGCATGGTGTAGTTGCTTTTGTGATCGGGGATACATTCTTATCCTTAAACCCCAAGTGACGTGATCACATTGCTTTTCCAAAAACTAGTTACCCAATTGGAAGTTTCCTTACATGATGAAGTTAAAATCATGTTAAACTCCAAAGATCAATAATTTATTGATTACATGATTTGAGTTATTAATTGTCGTTCATCACTTTTCTTTAATCCCGTACTTTGAGTTGACTTTTCAAAAGTTTTACCTACCTAATTTTGAAGCTCTCTCTCCCTATCATAAGTTCCTAAAATTTTACATATTTTTTTGTTCTCTGTTCAATGTTCTGTTTTCAATTACCATGTTTGTTTAAAGCAGTAACATACTCTAGGTAGAGAGGTTATTGGTTTGTTTTTACTATATCCCAATGGAATATAGTGGGGTCCTTCTCTATGGAAAATTGGAACCCAAGTCTAAGAAATATTGCAAGGAATATCTTTGAGACAGTCAATCAAATCATGGTAGTTAAGATATTGAAATTGTGGTATCCATTGTACAAAGATTATTAATTTGAATAACTAATTGGCAAGAACCTTTGCATTATCCAGCTAGTTTAATTCTAATTTACGCCACTTCATTTTTCAAAAGATCTGAGCTTCTAGATGTTACAGGTCATTGCTCAAATCACATTAAAAAGCAAAAATAAATAAATAAATGAATATCAGTTCTTGATTCTTCTACTCAGGAAATGATAAAGATTTTTATGTAGGACTACACGATTTGTTGCCATAATTGAATCCCTTAAGGAGTAGTAGTGGCAGACAATAACAGATTAGGGTGTGATTGCCAACCTTAATATTTGGATCTTTGATTCTTTGCAGCCATCCAGTAATGTTTTGGTTATATTATTATTATATGTAGATTTATGGAACGTTACAAACAACTAGCAGATAGGAACGAGTTCACCTTTCCGCCCCATACGAGGATGTGAATGAGAAAAGACGATTTTGCTGATGTGCCTCCTGTAAACCCCAAGAAAATATGTAACTCTAGCTATAAAAGCAGGACCAAAATTTCAATTCCGTTTACATCAAGTAACAAAGTTTAGGGCCCGTATTTGCATAAATAAACAAACGAAAATCATGCTCTCGTGTTACAGGAAAGCAAAACTTTTTTATGTTCCATGTCAATTAATTTTTTTTCTTTTTTGGGTTTGGTGTTTATCATTTTAAATGACATAAGTTATGTCATTTTAGAAGAGAGATAGACACAGAAAAATAGAAATCATGGGAAAAAGAAAGTGAGTGATTTTTTATAATTTAAAATTTAAATAAAAAAAAATTATGTGTCTGTCTCTCTCTTAAAATGACATAACTTTATGTCATTTAAAATAACAAACATTTTTTTCTTCTTTTTTAATATAAAATGTGAGACCTACATTTAATTTATTTCTACTTTTTTTTCTCTCATGCTGTCCTGCAACACAAGAAAACATGAAACCATAAACAAACAACTCAATAAAGTAGTTTTGGACAAGTTGTGAAAGATTAATATTCATCAATATTGATATTTATTTATTCATTGAGTAACCCAATTATAATTAGTTCTTTGAGATGAGTTAGCTCCTCCAGTATCGTCACAATTTCGATTTTTTTGAGTTAGTTATAGGACTAATCCATAGTGTGGGGCGGGTCAGATATGAATACTCTATGTTCCTTTCCACTTACTTAACTTGCTTGCTACCAACTGAGCTACCACGATTTGGTTATATCAACATTATTTCTTATTTAAAACCACGGATCTTCAAAATATTTTGTTAAAACCATCTCAATATATGTTATCTGATGTTTTCAGCCACCTATACAACTCTTCTCTCACATCTTACATATGTTTGTACAAATACACATCAACCTTAACATCTCATTTCCGCTATTTCTATTAAAATACTCAAAAAAAAATTTATAATAGATAAAACAAAATGAAGAACAAATCCTACTCACACATGTCATGGAGCAACAACTGACAGCTTTATTTTAATCATAATCTATGTAACATGGTTACAACTTGCTTATCTTGACAAGCCCAGTGTCCTTCTTTACATTCGCCCTCAGTGTGCTTTCCCAGTAGTTGTCTTTACTAACGGTCCAAATAAAACTGATCTTGGGGCCCAATAAGCAGGCGTCTTGGACCTGCAGAACTTGATCCACTCCAGGCTTCAGTGTCACAAACGCAAGGAGAAGAGTTTTAGATAAGGTGTTAAGTTTGATATTAAATTGCTCAAAAGCTTTTGGGAAAATTATTCTCTTATATAGTAAAAGAGAATTATGTTATAGACACATTGATAAATTTGTCTTTTTAATTTTTAACACATAATAGATCTCATCATGTGTTGAGTTTATAGTATAAGAGGGAGTATCTCTTACAACAAGAGATTAGATGATTATATGCTCCCAAGCTTTTATTATAAATAATACAACATTAACAACAATCCTAGTCACACAAGTCACGGAGCAACAACTAGCAGGCTTTGTTTTTCTTCTTTTTTTCATGACCATCTACGTAACATGGTTACAACTTGCTCATCTTGACAGGCCCCATGTCCTTTGCCTTTGCCCTCAGCAAATGCTTCTGTGTCTTCCCAGTAGCTGTCTTTGGCAAGGGTCCAAATACAACAGATTTTGGAACCCAATAAGCAGGCATGTTGGACCTGCAGAACTTAACTATATCTTCAGCTAGAAGCTTCTCATTAGTTCCATCCACTCCTTGCTTCAATGTCACAAACGCACAGGGAGACTCACCCCATTTCTCATCTGGCCTTGCAACCACTGATGCCTCTAGTATTGCAGGATGAGAATACAGAACATTCTCTATTTCAACACTGCTGATATTTTCAGCACCAGAGATGATAATGTCCTTTGACCTGTCCTTAATTTCTATATATCCATCTGGATGCTTCACAGCAAGATCACCAGAATGATACCATCCATTTGCAAAGGCCTCCTCATTAGCTTTAGGATTCTTTAAATATCCTTTCATCACACCATTACCTCGCATCACAATCTCACCAATTGTAGTACCATCAGCAGGAACAGGTTGCATGGTTTTTGTGTTCACAACATCTAGGCCTTCCAAGGAAATGTACCGCACCCCTTGCCTTGCATTGAGCCTGGCTAGTTGTTCAGGGGGAAGTGATTCCCACTCTGGCTTCCAGGCACATACAGTGGAAGGGCCATAAGTTTCTGTGAGACCGTAAGTGTGAGTGACACGAAATCCTAGTTCAGACATCCCGGCAATAACAGATGGAGGAGGAGCTGCCCCAGCTGTATTCACATGTACAACATGAGGTAGAGGAAGGATGGCTTCCTCAGGAGATGCATTGACTATTTTGTTAAGCACCACTGGTGCTGCAGCAAAATGAGTCACTTTATATTCGGCAATGGCTGCATATATTGCCTTAGCTGTTACCTGTGTAAATGCATCAAGAAAGGTGAGTGAGGGTGGACATCAATAACAATCAAGTAACTAGCTGTTGAAGAAAACAACTCACAAAAAGTATACAACATTATTAGTTAAGAAAAGAGCAGCATACTTGAGCAGATTTACTTCAAGCAGTACATAACAGAGAATTGTTCTTTTGAAATATAACAGATTTTGGTATGTTTAAACTTTAAAATTAGCATGTTACCACCAGTCACTCAGCGGAAAAACATAAAAAAGATTACTATTCAGAAGAACTCTGAAATCCTGATCAAAATATATTCGAGTTCATTATAAATTAAATTTATATTTCATCCATGCATGTCACTATTATTTAAGAGGCTCATAAGTCATGTGCTCAACGAGGCCTTCATCTATTTGACCTACTAGCATTTATAATAGCATCAAATTTCAAGCTAGAATTAGAAATTGTCAAAAAGTTATGAGCATCATATTACCTAATAAGGAAACCAAGTTAACAATTTGTTTCAAACACCCCAATAATAGCAGGGCATAAACAAAACATATCAATTTACCTGACGAAGACAAATGTTTGTCCCACAAAGAGCTGCAAGTGTCCAAGTATAGCACCAGCCATTGCAATGAAACATGGGTAACGTCCACAGAAACACAGCACCTTCATGCATTCCCCAAATAAGAGCTCCACTTAGAGACATTAGATATGCCCCTCGGTGGTGTAATACCACACCCTTAGGACTAGCAGTGGTACCAGATGTGTAACCCAAAGCAATGCTCTGCCACTCATCCTCTGGAGGTTTCCATTTATATTCAGGGTCACCACTTTCAAGAAATTTCTCATATTCTATGGCTCCTTTGGCCAAAGCATATCTGAGCTCATTAGGATTGCAGTTCTCATCACCAATGACAATTACAATTGGAGGCTTAAAGCTTTTGCTTTTCTCAGACCAGATTTTCAAAGCTTCTTCTGCCAAGGAAAAGAACTCTTGATCCACGATTACAACTGCTGCTGAACAATAACCAAGAAGGAAAGCTACTGTTGATGCATTTAACCGAATATTAACATTGTTCAGTACAGCTCCTGCCATTGGAATCCCAAAATGAGCTTCATAAAGGGCTGGAGTGTTGGGTGCAATGACAGATACCTGTTGGCAGCATAAGAAAACTACTTCAGTATTATGCAGAAAAAAACATAAAGGAAACTTTTTTGATGTGAACACACTTTAATACAACAGAAAACAATATCAAGGACATAAGATAAAAGTTAACACAACGAAAATATGGGAAATGAAGTCAAACGTTGTAAACAGACTTAAGTGAAACCACTGCAGAAATCCCTGCTTCCATAGGTACTCACATGAATTAGTGTGCAAATTTAATTATTTGCATGCAGACATAATAACTGAAGAAGCTAAATCTTATGGATCCACTTTAACAAATGCTTAAGAAGATAAAAGCCAAAGAACACCAACAATAATATGCAAAATTAAATGCCGAATATGATTCATGAAAACTCTAAAATAACTAGAGATAAAGCAACTAATTTGATGTTTTGTCTATTATACAATGAAGTATCTCTTATCTCTGCCATTTTACTTCATATTTTCTTCGCCAGTAGTCAATTCCTTCTTGTTATAAATGAGAGGGGAAAAAATTGACAGGCTATTGGATGCCTGAAAGCACAAACAACTTACTAGAGAGACGCAGGGTAAACCAATTCATTGGACTTTATTTCACACACATAATCAAAAGAATTTCGGAGAGAACATGGTTCTGAGAAATCTTACAAGCTTACAGAATTTAACACCGTGTTGTACACCCGGATCATTATGATTATATATGATATTAAGCGCAGTTACAATTATACATAATGATAACGAACCGGGTGTACAACGGGGTGTTACAGAGAACATAGATTTGGGTCTAAAACAAGTACTGGTTTATTATTATTTTTTGTTAGGTACAAAATTATTGCTTGATTTTATTAAGCTAAACAATGATTTGGCTATCTACTCCAAGTCTCCAACGGAAATGCAAGGTCATACTTAGACCCTATTGATGACCAGTGACTGACTACATTAGAATTAAACTCCCCAAACATGAGAGTCATAAATTGTAAGTTAAATGAGGGAACATAAAACAAAATAACAAGGCAGTATTTTACGCAGTGCAGAGACCATAACAAGGAAGTAATTTGATTACCATGGTCACTGAACTTGGTTATATAAAGTCAAAGGCATCAATTACGAAAGCAAGATTTTCATTGTGTATGGTTGCAAATGCATTAAGAGATCAGAGCTAATTTGTTTGATAGACGGATGAAGAGTAAAAGCGGAAGGGTCAACAGAATCTTCTCGACGTCCACGACCATATCCTTGACCAGCAAAAGCGGAAGAGTCAACAGAATCTTCTCTACGTCCACGACCATACCCTTGAGCAGCAAGAGCGGAAGAGTCAACAGAATCCACTGGGGGTATAGGCATCATAGGAGGTGCTGATGACGTAGAGGGCTTAGAGGGAATTCTAAGCAAGGTAGACATCACGGAATCCAGAGTAGGAACTGTAGCAGATCCTAAAATTTGATCTCGATTGGCAGACAAATGGTCAGGCAAACCATATAAAATGAACAGCATAAACAGTGTATTACGTTGTTCTGTTCCTTAGAAACATCCGCATTGAGAGGCAGAAGTTCATTAAGATCATGAAGTAGACTCTGAGCTTGCCCCAAATATTCAGTCATAGGACAATTGAAGTCCCGAGGAGCAAAGGTAGTCATCAATTTCTGACACACACCATAGAGTCTCTGGGTATCATTGGTGTACAGTGCTTTTGCCTGACTCCAAATAGCTTCACAAGTAACAGCAGGTCGAAAAATTTGTTTGATAGACAGATGAAGAGTAGCTTTAATGAGACTACACAACTGAGCATCAATCATCTTCCACCGTGTGCGCTCCTTTTCCGCCACAGATTCAGCCTTAGTGGTGAGATGAGATGTATAATTCTGCCCATCCAACCAAAGTCGCAGATCGGAAGACCAAGTATCATAGTTGGACCCATCCAATTTATCCACACTCAACGGAGCAAGGATATAATTTGAAAAAATAGGAGACTCCGACTTTTGTCCAGCCGGAGTCCCAGAAACAGAAACATTGGAGACAGGAGAGTCCATAATCAAAGAAAAATCAGAAAGAACAGATCGTACAACTAACCGGTAGAAGAGGGATCTGTGCGTCAACGCAAAAAAGGTGTCGGAACAGAAAAACAAGACCGGATCCAGAAGCGTCTCAGCAAGACGAAAAAGAACGCAACCAACCGCGGCCGGAAAGGAGGCTCCACGCGCCTCCAGTTGGAGGAGCGTGCTGAAACCTTGCACGCGCGCGTGAGAGCGCGTGGGAGGTCGTCTGAGGGAGCGGCTGGTGCCGGTGTGACCGCGTTGTCAAGACGATCACGGCGGTGTGCTGCGTGCCTGAAAATTCCACCGGACGATGATGGTTGACGGTACAGAAGCGTGAAAGTAGAAGAAAAATCGTCCGGAAACTGACAACGAGACAGTTCCGGAAAAAAAAAATTGTAAAATACGATGAACAGTGGGTTCACCGGAAAAAAAAAAATAAAAAAAAATCAACGTTCCTTAGGCTCTTGATACCATGTAAAGAACCTTGGGATACACCACCCCAAAAGCTAGCTCAAAAGGTGAGAGTGCCTAAGGCCTTGTAAAGGTCACATTGGTTGCACATACAACCAATGTGAGACTATATCTCTCATCAGTTTATATAAAGTCAAAGGCATCAATTACGAAAGCAAGATTAGAGCTAATTTCAGCTACACAAAATAATAAAGAAACATAAACCACGGGCAATTGATTCCCCCAATTATGCAAAAGTATTAAGTATATTTTCGAATTCATAAAATCTCCAACATAACTAAACGGTCCGTTTAGCCAAAAGCTATTTTTTTTTTTCAGGAAAAAAAAAAGTCACAAAAAATAGTCAAAAAGAGAAAAAGCAAAGCCATAACATCCAGGACACAAACACAGTACACAATCTGATTTTCTCTTCTTTAAAAAGAGAAGAAAATTTAAATAGTTGTTGAGAGAGAAAGAAAGAGAAAGTTACAGTGTTGCCGAGACCGATGGAATGGTTAGAAAGAGCAGAGGCAAGTCGACGGCAACGCTTGTAAGTCTGATGCCACGTGTAGTGCCGTGATCCATGTACCACCGATCTTCTGGTGGGGTGCACAGTAGCTGCTCTTTCCAAGAACCACAGTGGGGTCAACGCAGTGTAGTTCGCATCGTTCTTTGGCAAATCGTCTATATCGCGTGCCACAACCATTTCCTGCACCCCTCTCTCTATATCTCTCTGTCTAGAGTCTCTAGTTTCTGCTACTACGGTAGAACAAAACTTAATGTATGACGAGTGCTACTCTACGACGTTGTCTGGTCTTTATATAGCTGACAACAATGCATCATTGGATACGTGTCTTGTCGATCCAACGTCTGTTAATTATTATTATACTATGGGTGTCGATGGAGAATTGCTTTTTTGTTTTTGTTTCTATCTTAAAACAAAGGGTTTTGCATTTGTCACGTTACATTACAAATACAAAGTTTTTTACATATATATTGATATTTGTGCTTTATTTTTTTATTTTTTTCTTTCTATTTTAAACATATAAACCTCACACTTATTGTTTCTACAGCATAACAAAAAAATTGTCTTACAACATTATATTTGTTTTTCCCTAAAACAAAACAATTGTTTTGGTTCAGTTACTTGTGCAGAGTGAATTGGTGTGCTTCACCTTTCTCAGCTGCAATGACCAGATGTTTTTACTCTGAAAACCAGTCAGAGCTGGGAAGTTACCCTTATCAATTCAATTTTATTTTCCCATAAGGGAAGTCAAAAAGTAATTAGAGTAAATATTTTTTTTGGTCTAAGCAAATTTTACGATACCCATTCTAGTTCCTAACAAATAAAAAGGTCTATCGTAGTCCTTAAGAAATTTAAAATGGACCAATTTTAACTAAATCGTGGTCCCTCACAAATTCAAAAAAGACCTATATTAGTCCCTAGAAGAACTAAAATGAGTCTATTTTAAATTTTTTAGGAACCAAGATGGATCTTTTTATTTGCTAGGGATTAAAGCGGGCATCAGGACCAAAAAAAAGTATTTACTCGAGTAATTATAAGTGAGAATTTTTTATTTAATTTTTTGCAAATAAACTTGATTTTAATTCTGATCTATTAGTCGTATAAAGTTTTTTTATTACTCTTTTTCATGACATGTCAACGTATCTTTAATACTAGTCTTTTTAATACTGAGAAGTCACTAGTCTTTAATACTAGAAAAGAGAAGCTATGAGAGAACAAAAATGCCGCGTCTTTAAATTTCATGAATCAGATTTGTTTTCAAATTTAACAGGTTAATAATAATGGTAAAGATATATTAATAAAAAAAAAATTAATAGTATATATTCTTATGTGTATCATAATATTAAATATAAAAGATAAGTACGAGTAATATTCTATTTATGATCATTGTTATGGACCGGATCCATATCCTAACATCTCTATTACTAGCAAAATTGGATAGGGATATCAAAATCATATAATCTAGAGAGGATCAAGGGATAAGATCCATATCCCCATCAATCAAGGCAGATTTCATATCAACTGGGAGATCTCAAAGGTAAAAACCTACGAAGGTAATCCTTATACATAAGAGGCTAAAGCCGCAGGACACACTTTTGACCTATTTATTATCACTGCCAACAATGTGCACACACTTACGTCTTGGCTATATGCCTATTGATAATGCGCAGCTGGAGTATTGACTATAAGTCAATCGGATATCTATCTTTTAAATATTTCTGAGCGCATAACCATGAGGTATCTTATACGGTTCAACAGGACCGAACAATCATAATATTAAGGGTTTTATTAATCTTCTTTTACATAAGATAATTATCTTATGTTGTAGAGAGAAAATGGGTGGATCCCACCATTGTAAGAAAAAAAAGAAAAAGGTGGGGTGCGAAAATCGAAGTGAGAGAAAATGAGATAAGATGTCTCATGCAAAATGACAGTAATATTTTCCTAATATTAAATACAAAAGAGAAGTATGAGTCAAGTATAAGTCAGTAATATCCTATTTATAACTGAAGTTTCCTTTTTCATACTTAAGCGGTTAATAATAATAGTATTAATAAATTAATAAAAATTATAATAGTATACACCCTTATATCTTTCATAATATTAAATACAAAAGATAAGCAGGAGTAAACAATGAGTCAATAATATTTTATTTATAGCTATAATATTAAATACAAAAGATAAGTACAAGTCAACCAATGGTAAGCAATCTTTAATGGTGACAATAAATTTATAAAAATAATAATAAATATACCATTATGTGTATCATAATATTAAATACAAAAGATAAGTATAACTCAGTCATGGGTCGGCAATATCCTATATATAGCTGAAGTTTCATTTTCATACTTAACTGGTTAATAACAATAGTAATAATAAATTAATAAAAATAATAATAGTATATACCCTTATATGTATCATAGTATTAAATACAAAAGTTAAGTACAAGTCATCTATGAGTCAGCCATATCCTGTTTATAGCTAAAAATTTCCTTCCCAAGTTGGGCTCCTGATATGGCTGACTCGTACTTATTTATTAAATATGATAGATCCATCTGTTCGCTGGCCAAAATTTATGTTTCGATATCTGTTGAAATGGCTACAAGATTTGATCTCATCCGTGATCTGGCATCATCTAAAGAGCAATGGAGGATCAAAGTTAGGGTTATCAAACTCTGGAGGCAGTCCAACTTTCATCGACCCGAGATGGGAGACAATGTCGAGATGATTTCAATAGATGACCATCTGAGTTTTATTAAGCACGTCTATCGTACAGATTAGTATTTTTTAATTCCTACAACTATTAAACATTGCTTATAGGTCCTTTTTTTCGTAATAACAGGGTGATAAGATTCAGGGGACTGTACAGGGTTCCCTGAGGATAAGAGATTGACTAGCGGAAGGTGGAATATATGTCATACGAAATTTTGGTGTTGGCCTTAATTCTGAAAAATTTAAGCCAACGCAACATGAGTACAGGCTTACTTTTAATCTAAGCACTATTGTGACAGCGAGTGTCGATGCCAACCTTCATATCAACGATTTTTCGTTCATGGAATTTGAGGATGTTGAAAACTATCCTAATGACACTACGTGTTTAGTCGGTAATGTTCTCTTCCATTTCTTCAAACGCATTATTATTCATCTATAACAACTAATGAAAATTGCGCTTGCAGACGTTATTGGATTTCTTTATGGAATTAGTGATTCTAAGGGATACATGGTATCTGGAAAGAAGATGAAGATGATAATCTTAAAGCTGGACAATTTCAAGTGTTTTTTATATTTATAGGAATGTGATAATATGAATGTTGCTGTATTTATACACTTATATGTTTAACTATTTCTGAAGGGGTACAAGACTTGATTGCTGTCTATGGGAGAGCTATGCAGAAGAGGTTATTAAATATCATAATGAAAATTCAACCAACACGACGGTCATCATCATTCAGTTTGCTCGAATGAAAAAATTTATGGGTGATATTGTCTGCATCAATTTCAGTTGTTGTTCATTTTTTATCTGTTTGTATAAAAAATACATTACTTTATTGTTTGTATGTAGGTAAAATGGGTCTGTCCAATATAAAATTCTCTACAAGGCTCTTTTTCAATCTTGATTTTGTTGAGGTCGAAGCTTTCAGATCTAGGTTATATTTTGTAACTGATACATGTTATTCTTCTTTCATCTACCATAAGAATAAGTCAATCAACGTTGTTGTATACTCAGATTTCCTAATGCACAGTCAGACAATGCACAGAAACTGACACAACTTTCGAACCAATCCACATATTCACAATCGGTTGGTTTTTGGAAGGAAACTGCTACAAATTTTATTTGTGACAACAAGGATTTTAGGGAGGTAGTAATGTATATTATGTTAATTGTAGCCTCTTTCATGAGTTAAATAATAGCAGTCTCAACCTTGATTGTTAATGTTTGGTGTAATTAGGCCATGATATGTGTTACGTATGCCACTATCAAGGGCATCAAATTTGCTTTCAACTAGTGGTACAAAGGCTGTAAGAAATGTACGTATTCAATGTTTGCGGATTTTGGCAAGTGGTATTGCAGAAATTGTGACATCTATCTGCCTACTTATTATCTGAAGTAAGTCTTGTGTTCATTATCGTCCCGCCTTACAAAATGCCTTACAATCCTAACTTATGTTCATCCAAACTTAATCTGGCATCTACTTGCAGGTTCAGTCTGCAAGTCAGGGTGGTTGACGACACAAACTATGCTTCAATTGTTTTGTTTGACAAAGATGCAACCAACCTGTTATGCCTTACAGTTGCAGAATTGCGTGAGCAGAATTTTCGAAGGGCAAGTCTTATGTGTCTTGTGGGTTTACTATTCATTTCATTTGCTTGTCTTAACATAAACCCATTAACTGGTAATTTTCATATTTGATTTTAGGGTGGTGACTTGGACAAATACTCTCAAGATAATGCTTTAATTGATAAGTCATATATGTTTAAAGTCAATGTCAAGAAAAACTGTATTAATTCTTATGAGAAAAGTGCTTACCAAGTGAGCAGGGTTTGTTGTGATGAGGACATCATCCAATTACTCTTGAACAATAAAAAAGATGAACGTGTAATTATTGTATTATAAAAATTAATGGAATAATAATGTAATTGAAATGTTATCGTTGCTACGATTATGCAATATGCTTGGTAATTGTGAACCTGTTAAATACACGGATTTGTGCATGACGAACAATATAGTGTCCTCAAAAACACTTAGTGAAGTAGATGAAATATTGTCTACTGTACAAAAGACTTTAGTACATGTGTAACCTTATTTATAATCTTTATCTTCTTTTCCTTACTTCTGAATGCAATATGATCTTCAATACATATACAGGAATTCAGTGAACAAAATGAAGACATTGATTATTTGGCAGTAACTCCTACCAACAAACTTGCAGAGATAGAGAAGGGAAAAGCAGTTAGGGATGCAAATTTGTTTACATGTATGAGACCAACTAAGGCCATGAAGATTGATTATAATAGTTTTTATATACTGTGATGTTTTTGGACTAAGATTATGGGCTGTAATTTATATCTATGTCTACATGATTATGAATTTTGGGATGGTTGTATTCTGGTCATGTAAAAAACTTTTTGTTATCATTAAGCCTTTATATTCTAAGGTATTCTGTATGTTCTAATTATATGCGATGTGATTAGAACATTAATACCCTTATGATTACTATCATTATATGTGTCTTCTGATCCCACGTTAT